AATCAAATTCATTTGCCAAGTGTTTCAACTGGAATACAGCAAAGTCGACAAGTAAACATGATGTACCCAGTTTACTCTTCAAGTCTTTTGAGGTTCAGTTAAAGTAAAATGCACCCAATCTTCTACACTCTCTTATTGAAATGACATATAATTTGTTTGATACAAATTTAAACTTGATAGGTAAAACAGAGGCTGTAAAAACAAAATTTATTAAAACCCAACCGAAATTTAGCCCCCGTTTGACACCCCGTTAATTTCTCATTCTCATTCTCATTCTTCATTTCAACCACACATTCTCCAAATAAAATAATATTACACACAAATCAAAAAAAATTCATCACTTTTCCACCACACACTCACATCAGTCACTATTCTAAAATTTCTATTCTCCTCAAAATTAGATTCAAACACACCATTAGTCAAAAAATCCCCATCCAGGAGTCTACAAAAAGTTGGGATGGAGTAGGAGCAGATTGAAATTCTGACAAAGGTACTTTTGATCTTCAAAGTGAACTATTTTTCAATGCCTTCAAATCGGTTCACTTCATAAACTCTTCCTCAAACTTTAATATGCTAGAAACACTCTTTCAAATTGGTACAATATACTCAAAAATTATCACAGTCAAGCATAATGGCTTTGAAGCAGCCAACCTCAGCCAATAGTTTCTTGACTTCATATCCAATATATAGAATAACAGAGGAACATAAGAATATTTGTCTAACCTCAATAAAGCCTGCGATAGTACCACTATTGGATCCAATGGGGTCCTTGATGGACGAAATTGCTTCAAAAATCATTGTTTTGTACCTGATAAGGAGGCAAAAGCATTATATACATTTGCAAAAGTGGAAATTTTGTGTGTAGAAACTTTTNNNNGGAAATTTTGTGTGTAGAAACTTTTTAGGAAAATCAAAGACAAAGGTCCATGGTTTAACAAATGATTCACATGCACACACGCACACTCAACAATTACAAAAATGAAAAGTAAATCAAGAAAGAATTCAGTATCAATACGCGCATACAAACAAATCAACACCAGAGTCTACTAAGCTGAATAACTATTCCATTCAGCATAAGAATGCCAATTGCTCATTAAAGAAAATTAAAAACACAAACACTGCTTGCTCATAACATAAAAATATAAAACACGAATATTGCAGGGAAACAAAGAATGTGCAACATAATGCACAATGCCACAGTGGTTTCACGCCCAATGGCCATAATCTAATCTAGAAATCATTTTCGGTTCATTAGAACTGCGTACAAAACCACAGTTAATATTGCCCTTCTTGTGGGGATTAAAATCTACTCTAAGTCAAAATCAACAATTAATTTAAACCACATATTTCATGAGATCCACAATTTTTCAATCACACATTACATCAACTTTTATCAAAATCTACTAAAAATCTTATTTTAATCCCCACCAAA